TTCTGGTTAGCAGCCTGAGCTCTTAACCACTGGACCACCAGAGCTCCAGAGAGAAACTGAGGATCTGTGAAATGGTGGGAGGCTACAGGAGGGTATGTCTACACATCATTTCATTAGTGTAGATTCAGCGTAGTGCTTGGCGTGTGGCAAATCCAGGTTTTGTTCTTGAGAACTTTTTTTTCTGAATATTTTTGATCTGCAGTTGATTGCATCTGCGGATATGGAATCTGCAGATACGGAGGGCTGACTGTATTGCGTATGGAGTATGAGAAAGGGTGAAGTGTCAAGGAGGACCTGTGGGTTCCTTTTTGAGAAACTTGATGAATGGAAATAATATTGATGTTGTAGAGACACTGGCATGACCTCGGGCTTGAGGTGGCTGTAAGAGCAGTTTTGGTTGTCTTAAGATGCGTCTGAAAGGAAATTAGTTGTAGATAATGGCATATTAGTTAGGTTTTGATTAGTAATTTAAGCATACAAAGAAAACAATGTAATGACGCCCTAAGTAGGTGTGTGTATTTTATGCTTGTCATTTAATAAAGGTTAAAGGTTACTATTTTAATCCTCAAGTAGCAACTTGTTAGGAAATCATTATATTAGGAGGGAAGGGTTAATTTTGTTTCTTAGAAAACTGAACATTAGCAGTATTAAAGAAGTGTAGGGATTTAAGATCTGATTCATGTGATAGTCATAACTTTTCTATGGGAGAATAAAAGGCTTCAACTTTATAACTTTGTTTTAAAGCAGATGATTATTTGAAGCATTACCTTTTTTCTAAAGGTACATAGTTTCTAGAAAGCAGTTTAGTTATTAAAAACGAACAAACAAACCTGTTGCAGTCAAGTCAATCCCGACTCTTAGCCACCTTATAGGACAGAGTAGAACTGCGCCATAGGGTTTCCAAGAAGTGATTGGTGGATTTGAACTGCTGACCTTTTGGTTAGCAGCCCTAGTGCTTCATCACTGCACCACCAGGGCTCAGGGGGGTATTTAAAAGCATCATAAGGGTATTTTAAGTCGTGTACATTATCTAGATATTATTCTGAACACTTACTTTTATCTTCTGTTCTTTATCCTGGTGTTTCTCTTTGTTATCCTAAAAAAAGTAAAATTAAAATTTCTAATATAGCAGTTCATTTTTTTTTTTCTTTCAAAGACGCATCTAAAAGTCGAGTAAGAAAAAGATTTACTTCTTTGCAAAACTCAACCTCCTTATATGCTCTCTCTTCCTGACTAACTCCCTGTTGGCATGATTACTTCATTACTCAGGTTACGTGTGTGTGACTTACTCTCTTTTAATTTATGCCTGTTTGCTGTGTTTACTCATGTAATTCCCTCTTTTTATTCATAGTCATTTTAGCACTAAGAGGGTGAAAGTGGAGAATTGGTGGTAATACTATTCATGTTGCAGTGAACTCTCACTGTGCTAAAACCCCAGGTCATAATTCCTCCCCTGGACGGCTGCTTAGAGGCATTGCGTTCTCATTGTATGAAAGGAATCTAAATACTCGATAAGAGAAATGAAATGATGTTTATCTCTGAAGTTCCTTTTCACTGTTTTTGGAATATAGTGCAAAACCTAATTAGACAAAAAAAATTATTTATAGACTCAAAACTATCTAAAAACAACAAATAAAATGTCAGTTCTGAAGTAAGCTTTAGCTATTGGAGGAGATTGAGGCTCGCTTACTTTAAGAAAAGAGAAAACAATTGATACTTTTTCAATATCAATAGGATTTTGCAGTAATAGCCATGTGACTAAGGTTCCAAATGCTTTTTGAATTCAGAGTTATGAACACAAGCTTTAGGGTTTCATGGGAAGATGTACATTTATTTTATAACTAAACTTAGAAGTTTGGGGATTAAAGCAGAAAATACTATTTCCCAGAACAAGTATTGAAAAAATACGGAAGAGACAGTACCGTTTTTATAGATAAAAACTGCTAAAAGCTAATTAGCACTGCAAAGGGCAGTGGCAACTGGTGTTAATTTACTCCAGTGATCGAAAGGCCAGGAAAACAGCAAGGTTGACACGATCATTTTATATTAGATTAATATCATTATATCTGAACCTGATTTTTAAAAAAATCTATTTTATTTTTACAGGCTGTTTTTGAGCGTTCATTTCAGCATACATAAATACTTAACTAAGATGCCTTTCTGGTCTCTGAAAAGCAGAAATAACCTCAGATCTACTGACAGTCAGAGCCCACTGGAGTAGGTCAAGGAAAAACTTGTTTTATGTAGTTTACAAAATTGAAATAATGTAGAAATAGGCGATTGAAAACTATAACCATATTTTTTCCTAAACAACTTTTTCATCTTGCATTTCTATATGAAATAAGATAAGTATGCTCATATACAGTAGCAATGACCAATAAAATATAACGTGAGCTGCAAATATCTTTTAAAATTTTCTAATAGCCATGGTAAAAAAAAATGAGAAATAGGGAGATTAATTTTAATAATATATTTTATTTAAACTGATACATTCAAAATATTCAACATATAATCAGTATAAAATTATTGAGGTATTTTATATATTTTTTACTAAGTCTTTAAAATCGAGTACGTATTTTACACTTACAGCAAATCTCAGTGTGGACTAGTCACATTTCAGTGTGCATGTGACTGGTGGCTACCATATTGGATAGCGCAATTTGAGAACAAGTATTTTCTTTTTCTGTTTTTTACGTATCCAGACAGAGCTCAGGAACTATCATTGACTGACTGATTTTAGAAATGAAGGCTACACATTTCTGATCTGTTTAGGAAGGACTTGTACAGAACTCAGGCAGCAATTAAGCAGTCAAGGTCTTGGGTAATAAAGGCTAAGGAACGCTTTGACTTGCTTCCATTTCTGTGTGCGTGTGTGTTATGATTGTTTTAAGAATATTGTATTCTTGATTTGTGGAAAACTGGATTGTCAATTCCATGTTTTATAGAAAAATACATTTTTAGGAATTTTCTTTTTCAAAAATATAAGGTGTGACTTTATTATTATTTTTTAAAGAAAAAATTAAAAAACACCCAACCGTTTACTTTATAATACTTGAAAAGACTGGAATCAGAGTCTTTTCATCATAAGCCTTTTCTGTTTGCAGTAATTTGCAATAAATACACATATTGATATTCATTCCCATTGATGTTTCCTAAAGGACATTTCAAACCATTTTAAAAAAAATAACATTATTACAAACTTAAGAATAAATGACATTAAGTCAAAAGATTAATTTTTGCATCCTTCAGCTGTATTTACTATTTTGAATCTGTGGGTTTCCTAAAAATGTATATTTATTGAGGTTAGATTTAATAATAAAAACTCCCTCTTAAATGAATCCTGGTTTATGCACTTTGTGGACTAAATGAATTAGGCTCTAAACTTTTATCTGAATCTGTGGGGCTTGGAAATAAATTGAAAAGATCACAGCTATGGGGAGAAGACCTATACTGCAAAGACCTATCTGCATATATTATTAACATCATAACTCAGTTTTTTCAAAACTATGGTTATAATTGGACCCAATGGGGGTCTCTTTCTTTGATCAGATCACAGTAACTGTGACTTTACACTGGAAAATGTCACTACTGTGAAGGTTTATCACCTGTAGAGCTGGTCTTTCCTCTGATGCTGTGTTCATTTCTCATTAGCATTATTCAAAGTTTGGTTGTTAATTAGGTTGACACTTCAATTACAATGGTCATCTACAAGAGAAGTCAGGACTGCTTGCATAAAGAAAAAAATATTCCTTCTTGCATATATACGTAAAGGAGAAACAACATTATTTTGTTATGTGGTAGTATCGTAAGTGTATGAACATGCTGTTAAAGGAGCTATCCAACCAGAATTTGTCCCATCAGTTTTTTTTTCCTTAAGAAAACAGAATTTTTACATGACTTCACATGTTTCCGTGTTAAGCATTGATGAAGAGTGTATGTGAAGATCAGTATTTTTATGTGAATTGGTTAGGTGAGTTGTATGTATAGGAACATGTCATATTTCCTCCCCCTTAAAAAAATAAGAGTATGATCATTATGAGGAGTATGATCTCACAAATAACTAAGTAAGGGCTGTTGATAAATAATATACATTCTCTAAAATACACCCGACATGACACTAAAGCATGGAACAAGTATGAAAAATTATGACAAATTAAAATGCCTTTTTAACTTTTTTAAACTTCTGGATAATAAGTTTTTCTCTGGTTTAAAAATATGAATATTTTAGTGTGATTACTGGTTCATAAGGCAATGACACTGAACTCAAACCTAGCAAGTTATAGTGGGAAAAACTGGACAGAGCTGGGTTTAAATCACAGCTCTAGCACTTACTAACCAAATAGTGAAAGCAAATTATTTTACATCTTTGAGCCTCTTTTTCTTCATTCATAAATGGGAATGGGAATGCCTGTTTTAGAAGACTGTTGTGAAGGTTAAATAAGTCAGTGTATAAAATTTGCATAACATGTCCTCGATACATGGTGGGTTGTCCATAACTTTTAGCTTTTTAAAATCTAATATAGTGAAAACTGTTCAACAGATGACTGGAAAACTACATATGCAAATTAGGCTTCCCAAAATAAAATTAAATGGTAAGTGATCCTAGAAGACCGGTAACAACCTCACATAGCAGAAATGAACGATAGCCAACCTGTTTCATCTCAAAACAAGTAGACACATGTTGTAGTTGCTAAAAATCTGCAGAAAAGTGGCTCACAAGCAGTTTACTGTAAAATAATTAAAGCTTATTTATGTCAAGAGGGCTTGGGAAAAAAAAGAGAGCATAAACCAATTTGCATTAGCACGTTACTATCATCTCCTGCTTTCGTTTCAATTAACAGACCAGCAGGTGCTCTCTGCAGTTAAAAAGATAAGCTATCAGGGAGGAGGATGAGTTTTTGGCTGACCTGCAGACAGTGTGGTTTGCCTGCTGATTGGGTTCGTACCTCGCTGTACCAATTTCTGAGGTGTTAATTTAACTGTTCCTCTCTGTCATGCAGGTCTCGGCCTTGAAAAATAAACTGAAGAAGCAGTCTACAGCTACGGGTGATGGAGTAGCTAGGGCCTTTCTTAGGGCACAGGCTGCTTTGTTTGGATCCTACAGAGATGCACTGAGATACAAACCTGTAAGCATTTTATTTCATCACTATTTTAATTTGCTTTTTATGATTCTTTGGAATGAGGCAGAAAAAAGAAACATTTTAATATCACACCTTAAAAAAGTATCATGAAGGTCTCTTAAAATCCAAAATAGTATGCTTTAAAACATTGTTGCAGCTCCAATATTTCTTGACTTTCTGCTTTTCGTTCTTTTAGTAACTTTTAGTTAATATTTCTGACATTTTTGCATCTCTCCTTACTCATTGTTCTAAAAATGGAATACTTATCCTTAACTGATTAATGAATTGTGCTAATACATTTTAAAGCATTTACCCGACTTTAAGATCATTAAGAAATAGACAATTAGACGTATTATTAATAGCAATCTAGTTTAGAAAGGAGGAGTATAAAATGGAAGTTTAAAAAATTAGAACGTGAAAATTTTGCAGTGTATTTGGAAATTTGTTGTCTTCCTAATTTCTAACACTTGTCAAAAGTGGGTTTATCTGTTTAGCATATTGTAGCTCATTTTGCCATTTCTCTTTTAATACCCCCAAAACGATTATTATGTAGAATCATAGCCATGTTTCGTACGACTCTTCCATGACCAGGTGAATAAGTTATAATCAATAAAAACATTAGTAATAAGTAAGTAATAAGGAGATCTGCTATCTAATAGGAATTCCACCATTATTAAGCTGTGTAACTATGGCTCATTTTCTTAGTTTCTCTACCCTTTGATCTTCTTATCTGTAGAATGAGAATTCTTATACCTTCCTTGTCTACCTTTCAGGGTTGGTGTGTAAACCATATAGTTAACTATGAAGCACTAAGCAAATGCAAATGGAGTATATCCTTTCAAAATTGACTTCTGAATTAGTGGTTTCCATCCAGTGGCTCTGAGGGTCTTTGGAGCTATTGCACCAAACCAAAACCAGACCCCTTGCCATCCAGTTAATTCTGACCCATAGCGACCCAATAGGATAGAGCAGAACTGCCCCATAGGGTTTCCAAGGCTGTGATCTGTACGGAAGCAGACTGCCACGTCCATCTCTGGGTAGAGAGCTGGTAGGTTCCAACCTCTGACTTTTTGGTTAGTAGCCAAGTGCTTAACCACTGCACAACCAGGGCTCCTAAGCTATTGCAAGGAGTCCTTAAATCCATTGGGCAGATCAACTTCAGTCTCTATGTCTAGTGTATATGCTAATCTTTTTGAAATATATGTATATTTTTAAAGACGTTATAGAGCACATAGTGCTATACATAATGTATGTATTTCACATGGGAGAGTCTTCAAAAATTGTTGACATTTATAAGAGTCTCATCTTTAAAAGACTGGAAACCAGTCATCCGCACTACAGTAGAGCATATTCATATTCAAATTATTCAACATCAATTAAAATGTAATAAAAATGAATTTGAAAGAAAATAAGTGGTTGATTCTAGCTCAGGTTTTTTTAAAAATGGAGTTTGATTTCAAGTTTACAATACAGTAACAAAAGTTAAAAATATCACTTTGCTTGAATTTTGCCACATTTAAATATTGAATACTCATCTTCATAAACTAATTTTTCTTCTCATTTTTCCTTTCGAAATTTGTGAAGGACTTTAGGTTTGGGCAAATGAGATAAATGAGATAATTGAAATGAAAATTTTCTTAAGTTATTTAAATTATCAATGTGTTATGTATAGGTTGAAAGTAGAAAATATTCTATTTTTACATCAGTTACTATGGCTTTTATAGTTTAATATTCTTCCTCTTGGAGCTTATTTAAGTAGATAGAGGTATAAGATTTTGATAACTTTTATTTATTGCATCTTGAAAGCCAGATTCCTACTGTCTGTGGAAAAATATATGATTTCATCATAGAATATCTTTCCTTTTGTTAGATCACATCTTATTATAAATTTGTTAAGCTGTCTGCATCTTCCCTTTTTATGTATGATGCTTTCACATTCCTTTTTCTGCTGCTGGTTCTTCTTGAGAGATTGGGGAGTTTTTTCTTTTGGAATGCCTTTATATTTCTTTTGGCTTTATTTTTTAATGAAAACTTAATTTTTAAAGTATACTGAATGTATTTAGACTTTTTTTTCTATTTCCTTATTTTCAAAACAATAGTTTTAAGAAAAGTGATATTTCCATCATGTGTGTAAAATAGTTTTTTTATTTGTTTGCTTTAGCCATTATCTTTACAAATTACCCTGTATCATAATTCATCAAAATTGTATTTAAGAAAACATTTTGGTAATTTATATAATAGACATATATTTTTGCAATATTTTCTGATTGAGTGTAATAGTTACAATTATTTCCTAATTTTTTCTCTTTTCATAAATACATTTCATTAGTACCCTCTAGTTATTATAGCATAAATGGAAAGGGTAGATATTACTTTTTAAAATTTTATGATTGTTTATACACATGAAAAAGAACCATTATTTCTTCTTATGTTTGACAAAATCAAGCCTGTAGACCACAGTCTTAGGGGTCAGCCCTTTCACCAGGCATTCAGGGCTCTTCACAGTGGTCGGTCAGTCTGTTTTCTTTAGCTTCTTTCCTAAACTTTGGTCTGAGTTTAGAGAATTCTGCCTGAGGCTCCAAATGTCCCAGGCTTCTTAAGATTTCAAACCTTTACTGATAATGTTCTTTCTTCTTGGAAGTCCCTTTGTTTTTCTCGAATTTGATGGCCTTCCTTAGTTCCTTCCTGATCCCTGAAGCCTTTCTTGAATGCTGTAGTTTGTACTGACCCTTTCTTTGTATAAATGAGTTATACTTATTTTTTAAACACGTTTTCTTCCCAGTTTGCATTCTGTTTATCTTATTTCTTATGTTGTTATTCTTACTGATACTCATAATTGCAAATCACTATTAAGACAATAACTAATCATTGACACTGGGTGTCAGGCATTGATAGGCTTTTTAGATAAACTCTCTAATCTTTGCAAGCCTTCAAAAATTATACTTTTTATTTTAAAGTTGAGGAAAATGATATTCATAGAGTTTAAATCACCTCACTAAGGTTCCCCAGGTAGTGAATGGGGGTGAGGGGCCTGGATTTGAATCTTGTCTTTCCATACTCCCACTCTTGCTCCAGTATGGCATATTTCTATGCTATCTTTCCTTCATTATTACATCATACCATCCTTAAGATTAATTTCCTAAACTTACATTTCCTCTAAATGGAGATACATAGTAGTCACTCAGTATACTCTTATGGAAAGACTGAATGAATAATACAATGTCTTAGGAATTTTCTCAAAGGGAACAGATCGCATAGACACCTCATAGTGTGTAATACAAATTGAGAGCATAATTTGATATTTATGCTATAATTTCCAGTTATGTTTTTGTTTACTTGGGATAACTACCACTGCTCAAACTGATTTCATTCTCTTTCCTCCAACCTTCTAATTCTTCTCTTTCCTTTTTTGTCTCAATGCCTCAAGCAGCAGGAGTGAATATATTGCACTGAAAGGAAGCCTTGGTTTGTCTAAGTATATACGTTTTCTTCTCTATAGCAAATCATCTAAAGTCGAAGTCAGTGGTAAAACACTTTAATGTACAGTTGATTAATATATATTTATGGATATAATTTATTCATTTAACAAATTATTATTGAGCACCACTATACCAGACTTTCTCTAAGGCTTATGGACAGAAAAATAAATAGTATTAAGCTCGTGTTCTCTGGGAGCTTATAGTGGTAGGGACCGATGTGGTCATTTCTTGCATAGTAATAATAAAGAAAATGATGTTAGAAAATGAGAAAAGAGAGTTATGTTTATTATCTATGAGAAGCAAAGAAGAAACCTGGAAGATACCCTTGAATATGTGCATTTTTCTGAGGAGAGTATCCATAGTTTTCAAAGAAGAAAAGGACTCAGACACAAGTTAAGATTTGTTCCTCTAGAGATATGCAGAACCAGATCATAAAGGGCCTTTCTGTATCAACCTGGAGAGTTCTGACTTTAACCTATAGTTAATGCACGATGTTTAAAAGTATTTATCCTGGAAATGAAATGCTCAGAATTATGTATTAGAAAGACTGCTTTGATGGCAGCGTTCGTGTTAGGTCAGAGGAGGGCAAGCCAGGGGCAGGGTGGCAGGTGTGGCTATTAGAGTCTTATTGAAGAGAGAGGAAGGAAGGGCCTCGTCTTGTAGCCTCATTGGCCAGGAGGCCCATATCTGAAAGATATTAGGGAGGAAGACAGTAGTAGTAGGGAAACATCTGGATGGGGATTGTAAGGGAAAGCCCCCCTGGATGCTTTGTGTATTCGTATACAACTAAATACTGGCAAAGAGTAACTTATTTTATAAATGAAGTACTTAGAATGGAGTGGCAATTCTAGATATGTTGTTACTTTTCTTACATTGCCTAATTTGCACACTCTAAATGACACACTGGCGTGATTGACAAATTGTAGCTGCTCTAAATTACAGAGAAAAATATGAAACTCCTTACAATTGTTGGAAAGTAATTTACTAAATAAAGTAACGGGTATTTTGTACTTTTTTTTTTTTTTTTAATCCAAATTACCCCTAGCAGCAAGCTAGCTGCTTTTTAAGAATTCAAAAATATGAGATCAAACTAAATTTAAGAAGAGTGATAAGAGGAGCACAGACTCTGGAACCAGACGTCCTGGATTCAAATCCTCGCTCTGTAACTAACTAGCTGTATGAATTTGATCAACTTAACCTCTTAATACCTTGTTATCCTTATTTGTAAAAATAATATTACATACCTCTTGGGTTCTTTAGAGAATAAAATGAGTTAATACATGTAAGGTACTTAGAACAGTGCCTGGCATATAGTAAATGTTCTATATGTTAGCTATTATTGTTTAAAATGAAATTTTAGAAGTGGTAAATTTAGTAAGGAAAATCCCTTTAGCATAACCAAGAAAAAGCACCCTCCTCTGATCACAAACAAAGTGTCATAAACATGAAAATGCTTTTAAATGATTGCATTGAATAACTAATAAAAGGACTTCAGTTGTACTTCTGTGTATCTTTCATGTCACAGGC